TAAGTAATAACCTAATGAAGCCTTTTTTTATTGTGTGTACGGATGGATACATCTCTTAGAAGAGAAAAAGACCATAGACTACCTTTCTATCACACCTTACATATTTATTTGTTCAAAAAAGTTCTAATTTTATGTAACAAAAATACTCATAATTACTTACATGGTAGGTACATGGGCTACTTGTACGCGTTTTAATTGTACTTGATGTAGTTATGAGAATTCCTTTAATAATAGGTCAAAATTTTACTGAGCAGCCCCTTGTTTTTGTAGAAAAGGATTGCAATAGGCTAACATGTGTCGCTACTACCTTGAAAACATGACAAATACATAATACATACAAACAAATACGGTACAAGCTGCTACTACTTTGAAACCGTAGTAAAGTACAAGTGAACACGGTTCGAGTCGCTACTACCTCGAAAACTTTGAAACCGTAGTAAAGTACAAGTGAACACGGTTCGAGTCGCTACTACCTCGAAACTGTGGAACAAAATACATACAAACACGATACAAGTCGCTTCTACCTTGAAACCGTGACACAAAATAATACACAAATACGGTATATTTTTACACAAACATCTTAAATATATTTTGACTGAAGTAACTTGTGACCGTTTATCATATACTTGCCACTCTTTTAAAAGATTGAGGGTGACAATTTACACATTTACCAGTATTAACTAAATAATTTTCTTGTACTGGACTTATCAAATACTATGAAGAGGCGATAGCTTCAACTGTTGTGGAATGTTTTCCACCTTTGGAATTGATCAGATCAGAGCAAACTAAGAAACTGTCTGTGAGACTATTTTTTTATTCAAATATTATAATAATAATGGTATTGATTTCTCAGATTTAATCGACCCTAGTTAGTAACTTTATTATAATCTCTAAATCTGTTTTTATGTTGGTTTATTTGAAAGAAAGCTAATACAATGGAGTGCCTTTTGCACGTTGCCTACAGGCAAGATGATAAAGTGAATATAAATAGTCCAAAAAAAGGAAACAATTCAAGACGGCTTTCACAAGGATAATGCCTATGTCCAAAGAGCGTTTCTGGATATGGAGTGGAAGCACTTTGCTATGGGCATATTTTCAATTTATTTATATGTACAACATGCTCTTACAGTCGAACAAGACGCTCTAGAGATGGTAATAAGAATAGTACGATTTATAAAGAAAAACCCTCAAGCTACAGAGAAGCTTTTAAAATACCAAATAAATTAATTAATAAACTCAAGATGTAGTAAAAAATATACAAGGTTCAAAAAATATAAAAAACCATTGTGGAACCATGATTAAGTTCCCGAAAAAGTCCCCCGAGTTGAGCATAGCACTAACAGTCATGGCTCATATGCTGCATGCTTTCTATTTCAAATGTCACACAAGAACTATCCTAGTCTATTTAATTCTTATAGCACTAACAGTCAGCTGGTCTTAGCTCATATGCTTTCTATTTCAAATGTCACAAAGAACTTTCCTAGTTTGTTTACTTATTATAGCACTAACGGTCATGGCTTAACTCATATGCTTTCTATTTCAAATGTCACACATGAACTATCCTAGTTTATTTAATTATTATAGCACTAACAGTCAGTTATAATATAAGTTAGTCGGCATTGCGCCCAGCCGTTCCCAAACTGTAAATACATTCAAAACAATCCACTACCTCTGCTTGGATGCAGTAAAAATAAATTTAAGAAACAAATTCATTAGGAAACAACAAAAATTAATTAAATTTCAAAAATGTTTACATTCAATGTTAAACATAAATAAATAAATAAATAAATAAATAAATAAATAAATATCCTTGGACATTTAACACTGCGCCGCTAGCAGTATGAAAATATTAAAACTTAGAATTAGACATAAGTAAATTAAAGATGTCACTAAACTCAATGACTTCGATATGAGACTGTAAAGAGGGAGTGTGATCAACATGTCTTGGCTTTGACGAGCCTCATAAAAACTTGTGTATTATGAACTTCAACAACTGAAAAGCGACGAGACCACAGATTGACTACTTTGAGATGAAACAAACTGTACAAGAAACTTGCACGAAAAATCAACCGACGGCAAGTACCAAGGAGGTACTTTACTTCTTCACCATGTCAGTTAAGGAACTGACATGGTGAAGAAGTAAACATGGTAAATCCCTTCAGTTTCGTTGCAATATTTCCAAATGTCGCAGACACAGTCCCGTCAAGAAAAGCGGCCGAAAACAGGTACATTAACTTTATGGAGTAAAAAAAGCTCTACCGAGACCGAGCCTAGATTGATTCCATCTCCAATCAGGAGGAACATTATATGTAATAGCCCAGCCAGCACTCCACACCCATGTTAGAGAATAAGTTAGTTTTAATTATTTTTTTTTGTTAATAGTTTTAATGGTGAGATAGCACCCGGCACTAATTCAAAATCTTATTCTTTCTTTGGTTAAAAATTCATCTTGAATTCAATTCAATAATTAAAAACAAAATGTCTGATGTTATCGCTACAAAGTTTGGCAAACAGCAGTCCAAAAAAATTCTTTTAATCTCTCATCTCTTCAGATGTACACCAGGTAAACTATTATTTCAGTATCCTTAGATCACTTAGATAAATAAATCACACCTCTAAATGTCCAGTTTTTGAGGTTGTAAGTACAAAAATATTCTTAAATATTATTTTTCTTAATATTTACTTTATTTTATTTTTAGTAAAGTTTACAGAAGCTCACACCAAAACAGGATTGCTTGGAGAAGCAGAGAATTGGTAAATATTATACCATCAGATTGGCTTCCACAAATATCTGTAGATCCGATAGTCAAAGCCCCAATAGATTATTAATATAGGTATGTCCCAAAACAACTGTTCAGTGTCATCACAGAAATGACAAACTTCTAAGTATGCCGCTCAGTCGAACAAGCATTCATTCAAATCTACCAATACAGGAGAATTTGAGGTTTTATTTGGATGTTACGACGGGACGGGATGATTTAAATCACTTGACTTGAGACTTGGCAACACTGTCTTAGCATAGTACTTCAGATGCATGGAATTTACCAAATCCATCGGATGATAAAAATAATTCAGGTCTGCAAGGGTTACATATACAGTTTAAGAAACGAAGCACACCACAACTAACCAATACAAATAATCCATTCTCAAACATTTTTGTAACCCCATAATATACATACCATAAGTAGGTATAGAGAATTCAAATGACAATTGATAAAAATCAAAGGTTATAATAAAATGGCTGTCTCTAAGGAACCCCTACACCTAATCCTGCACAAATTATCCATTCTCTAGACACATTTCTAACCTCATATTTTAACGAATTCAATATTTGAACCAAATACCCTACCCTTTGACCTGACATTTCAGTTAAAAGTCAATGATGTCTTCAACTTCAAAGAACAACACCCACACATAACCTCCACAAGTCTCAAAATAATTTCCAATTAATAAAATCAGGAAAAGGGCGATAACAATCCTAATTTCTATAGGAAATATTACCAAATGAAGAGAAATTCCCTGAACCAAAAGATATTGCTTAGACGCCACCTGACGCCACGTACAAACAGAATAATATCTTCTAACGAGAAACAATGGAAATTGATTTCTAATAAAATTCAGAAAAAAGGCACACGACCTTAGAAGACGACATTTATATGGAACACGATGGAAAATCAAACAAATTAATGTTTTTTGACCCAACCAAATCCACACGTTTGCTAGCAAACGGAAAAAACGCTTCGTTTTTTTTTGACAGAAAGAAAGAATGACAGGCGACAGCACGCTGGTCACAATAGTGATGGGATAGTGTAAATCGTGACTCGATTATCAATTGTCTTCTAGAATCGATTTTTGGATTATATGAAATTAAATTTTATAATACAAAAAAATCAATACAAGTATTTATAATAGGGGTTAAAGTATGAAATTGCCGATTAAATAAATACAAAAGCTATGTCCATTTTTCAAGAACTTAAATAAGTGTATGAAGGCCCATAAAAGTGTTAGTAACAAAGGTCTTATAAACTATGGTTAGTAAATCACACAATAACCTAAACATAATTAAAGAACGACAATTTGGTGTCTTTAGTAAGATGAAAAATGGTGTTTCGTTATAAATTCTCTATACAAAACTGCACTTTTATATTTTAACACCTACTTAATAAATTGACTAACGTCAATTTTTGATTAATTTATAAAAATCGATGAATTCGCTAGGAGCTTAATTTGTCCCTAGATTGTTTTTTAAGTTCTTGGCGGGAAAGTGGAGCAGGTTTGAATTTCAAATGCCCAATAATATTGTATCTACTGCTAATGGAAACTTCAGATTCACAAGCCGATCAAGGAATTGCGCACCTGACAGCCGTGGTGACGCGACGTCCAGCAAAGCGCGCAAGCACTGCGCAGTAACTTGATCGGGTTGTAGTATTTACGTTTAGCTATTTTGAGAATCGATACCATAATCGATTATCTGATATTTTTACGAATGGCAACTCTAAGACGTTTGCGTTTAGTTTTTCTAATTTCATGCGTTTCGTTATACAGTTCTAAAAATATAACATTCAAAAAACTCAACTGCGTAAAAATGAACTAAAACAAAACAAAGTTCACAAATGCAGTCGGAGGCAAATGCAGTTGGTCATATGTAATTGATGCCTCCGACTGCATTTAAGTTGTCTTGTTTTTATCTTTTTAGTTCATTTTTACACAGTTGGGTTTTTTAAAGCACTTATAGGTAGGTATTATACCTAACAAATATATTATGTAGGTACTTATTCTGTATTTTCATTACGAGTGCCTTACTAAGCAAACATCTTGTTGTTACTTAGATAAGTTAAGCCCATAACACCTTCTTATTTTTAATAACAATTATTTAGATTTAAAAATAAACATCCTGAAGAAAATGTGTAAAATATTTTTTTACAGTAATTTTTTTGGGTTCTAATTTTATTTGACCATTACCACATTCGTATGCATTGTAGGCAGGTACTTACACGCAGCAATTAATTGTGCAATATCAATCCAATATTAAAACCCACGTCACACTGAACTACAACAGTCGTAACGTGCTAACAATCAATTAACTTCAAAAGTGGCTGTCGGATAACAATAAACAATGAGGCTTAGCAGAGCGAAGAGGCCGCGGGAGCGTACACTCGAAATGAATAGGACTTTCACGAATTTCATCACATTATTACTGTTTTTGGTGTTCGCGTCCGCGTTTTACCTCGTCGTGTCATTCCAGCCGATGTCCAAAGAGGAACACGTGGAGAACTTCAACAAAATGAACGAGGAGGTGGAGCCGTTCAGGAAGAATTTGACGGAGTGCGCCCGGCAGGTCAAAGCTTCGATGCTGGACGTCGAGCACTTTCTGAAGCGGCTACCGCAGTCGACCGCGCAGGGGAAATGCTTCGTCGCTTGCATTCTGAAGCGGAATGCGATCATAAAACGCAATAAGATTGATGCAAACGCCCTTCTGGAAGTAAATAAAGCAGTTTACGGGGAAGATAGCGAGGTGCTCTCGCGGTTAAAAGCTGCTATAGGCGAGTGCAGTGGCGCGGTTGAGGGCATTTTCGAGATATGCGAGTATGCGTCGGTCTTCAACGACTGCATGCACATAAAGATGGAGCACATACTGGACAAACTGACGATGGAGAGGCGCATGGAGGCGCTCGGGCAGATGACCTCCAACCCTGACGAGTGGACGGACGAGGACGACGAAATACTTAAATTGGTGAAAGACGAACTTTAGTTGGAACGTGTTGCTTTGTGTGATTAAAATAACAAAGGATGTGCTTTATTTGGCTTCTAATTTTCCTGTTGTTGTTCCTTCTTGACTAATGTTAGGATTAAGTAGTCATTTTGTGCTAAATCCCTAAACTTCACTTCACTAAAAATCCCGCCCGATTTTCACCAAAGCGGATAAGGCAGGAGATGTAGGTAGGTATAGAGAATAACCAAACCGATTTCCAAAGCTGAGCGGAGAGGTGATGTGGAAATCTGATTGACTATTCAAAGCTATTCAAACACATCACCTGTCCATCAAGTGCTTCGGTGGAAAATGTGGAAACCCTAAATGGCCCGCATTCATAAACGCGACTAAATAAAACTCATTGAAAAGGTAAAATTCACTTTTTCAAAGGGATACTGCCCAATTTTAATGCGTAATATTTTTTTAGTTTGCTTTTTTACGGTATTGCAATATTTGCTTACTGCAAGGAAGTCGATAAAAAATTATTGCATCCACTATTACAGTGACCTACTTCAGTCGCGCACTCCACAAAACACATTTTCCGTAATGTAATTAGTATTTTTAAGTGAATTAGCCAACTTACAAATCCTTGGGAGCAAGCCTACTTATATCATAGTGCAGCCATTTCCAGTCATTAATTACAAAGGAGGAAATATTTAATTACTATTGGTTTTTCGTAGGGGCAGTCGAATGCCGGTTTCAAGTGCAAATAATTTTGGTGTTAGCCGATTTATAGGATACATTTTTATCGTTGAAAGTTGGAAGCAAACAAACAATTTAGTACGAACAATACGGTACCAAGTTACAGTACCTATGCGATTGGTAAAGAGGGACAATCATGCAAATTTCTACATAGTTTACAAATATTTTCAGTAGGCCTAGGATGCACGGCACGCTGCGATAAATCGCGCCATTTTATCGATTTTGCCCATTCATTTTGACGTAGATAAAGTATAGGTACCTACTATCATCACGGCGCTCATCTTAGCCCGGCAGGCGATAGCCTATGATTGTAATTGATAAAAATACATAGGTATAGCATTGACGACTTACCCACCACAGTCTCCGTCCAAATAAAATAACACATTACATAATAATATACAGATCATTCGTTTATTAAATACATTAAGTACTAAACTATACAATCACACATTTATATATCACATAATGTTTTCTATCCGTCTACGCGATAGAAAAAACAATGATAACAGCTGAGACTTATCTTACAAAAAAATGTTTGTTACAAAATCAGAGTTACTTACAGTACCTAAATTTTTATTAATAGGACAAAACGTTTAAATGTGCTATTTAATTTGCACCTACGTATTGTTATCGGTAAATCTGTACAATAATTAAAACATAAGAGTTAGTTACAAGTTATAAAAAATACACAAAAAGTCTCACTTTCAGTCATAAACTCATTATTTTTATTTGCTCGTCAGAATGATGCATGTTTTTTTTTTATCTGAAATGAATAATTTTGTTAAATGACTTGTTTATTTATTAAATTTAAATATCCAAGTTCGATGTTTTACAAAAAACCTGACGCCTGTATTCATAAAACGGTCTTCAAATTGAAGAATTGTCGTGAGAGCCAGTCTTTTTTATGAAAGTAGATTTTTTACATTCTTTCGTACATAAATAGTTGTTATATTAATAATTATTATAACACGTCACAAGAATAAGATACAGAAAGCAAGAAAACGATAATTACAAACTATGACAATCTTTTGAGAAATGTTTCAGTCTGAATAATTTTGCAACGTAAAAGTCCGTAATTTGCGAGTTAAATGTATTTCATTGGCGGTAATAATGTGTTAAATGTTCACTTTCGAGAGATTCGCGACTTCAATTGTAATTTTGTATAATAAAGACCGAAACTAATTGTAGTGTCTTTACTAATGCTTTAAAAAGTTTCAGTTTTTGCGGAGTCATCGCATATCGGTAATTAGCTCCTCAATTTAATCCTACTATAATGTAATAAATAAGTAGTTGACACGACTTTGTTTATTAAAATGATCTCCGCTGATACCTATGACCCGTCCTAAATATATTGCAATAATTTACAAAGTTTTCCATGAATGACACCAGTATATTTATGGTTTATGAAACGATCAAGTAAGTAGGTAATTGGATTGTGAAGAAACTACATCTGTGGTGGCAAGATGCAATATTTAACATCTGTGGTAACACCCACAGAGCACCGAACCGATCTGTGTNCGGGACTCAAACTATCTCTATGCCAAATTTCATCAAAATCGGTTGCGAGGTTTAAGCGGGAAAGCGTAACAGACAGACAGACAGACAGACAGACAGACAGACAGACAGACAGACAGACAGACAGACAGAGTTACTTTCGCATTTATAATATTAGTTGGGATGAAACGATCAAGTAAGTAGGTAATTGGATTGTGAAGAAACTACATCTGTGGTGGCAAGATGCAATATTTAACATCTGTGGTAACACCCACAGAGCACCGAACCGATCTGTGTAAAAGCCCACACTACACCCACTATTGAAGTTAAAATTGTTAAAAAGTACTAAGGTAAGGCTTATCCTTTGGTGAACCAGTTCGATAGGTGTGGATAGGATTATGAAATTATTAGGTCTTTGTCAATGAAATTACATTCAGGGGTTCATAATAGGTCCAATGTCTAAGCTATAATTTCCATTAATACATTTTCATTCCTATTTAGATGACTATGTCAGAAAAGTTTTAAATGACATCTTAATAATACACAAACCAGTAAAGGAACCTATACGTAAAGACTTTTGTATGTTACTTTATGCTATCGATGGCTTTTTAAGAAATATAGTACTCAAAAATAATTGCAGCCCTTTCTAATTTCACTTAAAGGTTCAAAACCAGTAAATTTCTAGCAATTTCCATTCTAAAGTAAACTTGTTCGATTCAACTTTCAAACTTAAATATTCAGACAGGTATCGATATGAATTACCTACTTGGTAGTTGCAACTAATTGGCAAAGTTTCACCCTCTTCGAAGTACATGCAAATCGCAATTATTATAAGTATGGAACACATTCTTACCTACTTTAATTACTTGAACACACCATAAATATGAGCTTTTCTTTACCCTCCCTAGCCGAGTGACATCACATCCATTCACCATAGGACTCCCTTTGGACCCTTTACATTTTCATAAAGGTACAGAAGTACCATAAAAAGAGATCACAAAAATACTACAGATAATATTATGTTATATTAACTAGTAATTGTTTGTTAAACTAGATAAAAACAATCAGTCATGTTAATTAAAAAACTTGCGAAAATGATTTATGAATGTAATTGGAAATAAAAAACGGTTTATTTATTACTTATATTACATGGATCATACTTAGGCAAGGGAATAAACGAGCAAGTATGACATTACCAGTTTATTGCGTTTTCTTTCAGCTCTGTGTTGAACAATGAAGTCAAAATTATTGATATCTTCAATTAACCATTTTAATACTTTGCAAATAAGCATTTAATACGTAAGCTAGTTAATATATTTTTAACGTTGCCAAAGATTAAAAAGGTATTTCCCTACTTTAGTTGATTAATAGAATAACGTAATAATAGGTTTGGATTATAAGTACGAGTAATTTTGATTGTAACATTATTACTGAATATACAATAATTAATGAGATCGGCAAGTGTGTAAACCCACCAATATTGTCTAAGTAGGTACCTCTAAAACAACATGCTAGTATCAAAGTTTAAATATTTACATTGAGAGTCTTAAAAAATGTTGTTAGGTACATCAAAAACGAAATAACATCGTTGGTTGGTTCGCCTTTTTTGTGGAATGTAGGTATTCAACAGGTACAAAGAAAAATTCGAGATAATTTTATTTTCCCATACGGAATTTTATACTCATGTTCATGTCGTATGTTTAACATTTAGACCGAATTATAAGTTATTTAATCGTATTAAATAAGCTCATATAATATTTAATTTTGTAAGGGTAACTATTTCCATACCTTTAGGTATATTCGATTTACGTATTACGTATAGTTTTGATTTAAAGCAAATAAAATATACCTGTAGCGCAACCTTCAAAGGTAGCCTAGGTAATTTAGCTCTATTCGTAGCGTCCACGCGGGTCCCAGCGACGTGACACTTGCGAGATCATCAAGATAACCGAGACAGTATGCTGACGGACCTCCTAAACCACTCGGTGACTCACTGCGTTTATACGTTCGTTTTTGTATCGGTACATAATGATTACGGAGAACTAACACTTTCGTGCGCCGGCAAAAAATGAGCTTTCACTTTTTCGCATCCCATTGCAAAACAAACATAGCCCAGTTCTGAAGTTCCGCGGCGGTCACACTTGCGAACCAGCAAATCAATCACTCGAACCGACCACATCGGTTAGGTAATGCGCTTAGCTCTCCTCAGCCTCCAACAGCACCGGCAGACTGGCGTGGTGGTGGCACTGCGAGGACCGAGACGTGAACGCCGCCAGCCAAGACTCCACGTCGCGCTCGGAGCAGACGAATTTGGCCGATATGGTGTTGTCGTATCCCTTCTGCCGGACAGCAAATCCTGTGCTGGATTCTGCCCTTTCCACAGCCGTGTTGCGAAGGTTGACCACGCCGATCGGCTTCGTCAGCCTCTTCCTGGGGTATATGACGGCAAAGTGCTCGAGCGACGTCCTGTAGACCACCACACGCACGTCCTGCCGCATCCCGCCAGGCCCCAGCAGCACCAGGAAGCCAGACTTCACCTCGGCGTCTCGCGTCTTCTTGAAACTTTGGCCGAAGCGCTCCGCTCGACAGGTGGCTGACATAACGTCCGTCGGCATTTCACTATTTTGATTCAATCAATGACCGATTCGCATAACAATGTTTTGTTTTTCGTCGGCGGCGCGCGGACGCGTGAGCGGCGTCGCGACAGATCCGAGAGGTGGTACTGACGCGCCGTTTTCCGACGGACCCGTATTTATAACCTCCGGGTGCCGAAGCGACTTCGTGCCCGCTCGTTCGTGATCGTTACTTTGCATTCACTCGGAGGATTGTCTGTCAGACACAATCCGACCAAATAAAAGGACCCGTCGCTGACGTAGCGTAGCCCAGACAGCGCAACATTTGATGTTGCTAGGGTTTCGTAAAGGTCGAAT